CTTTAATGAACACCAATATTTTTTAGTTCCATTGTAAATGATGTTTAAAGTGAAAGCCACAGTATAATAGCATTAAAGGACTTTTTTAAAGACGAAAAATAAATCAACTACAAACATAGCACCTGACCCAAAAACTGATTTCATTTAATTTCCCTCAGATTTTGCGAATGTGCACATACAGTTTATATTTGCATTGCCATTGCCATGGGCATATAATTTTATACTTTGTTTACTATGTTGAAGATTAATCAGTAACCCTTCCCTGTTATACAGTGTTTGTAATAATGATTACTATTGATGCCTGCACGGTTCAATTGCCAGACCACAATTACTCCTTTTTGGAAAATCAAAATGTCCACCTTTTACATATGGTAGGAGACTACAGATAAATGATAGCAAAGGAAATATGTTATAAAAGAAAAGGAAATCAAAGATCTAAACCTCCTAAGGCAGTAGGGGAAAGAAGGGAGGGAGGATTTGATTCCTAAGAACTGTGAAATCCTATAATTTGATTTTGCAACAGACTGTACCCCAAATGCTTTATTTAACAATTCTATTTTTAAGTTTAAGAGAATTAAAAAGAAGTTGCATATGATGGGGATGTAGAGGTTCATTATACTGTTGTCTATTTTTGTATGTGTTTAAAATTTTCTGTAATTCAAAAGGTTTTAAAAAAGAATTTGCTTGTCAAAGATTTTTTCCCAACATTCTTAGAAATAGTTTGCAATCTCTCAGTGAGCAGGCCACTGCCAGCCCAGTGGCACATTGGTAAGTGTCTACACTCCCTCTTAGGAAACTCTGGCAGTCTATACATCTCCAAACAGCGCCCTTGGGACAGGCTGCTCCTGGGCAAAGCATAGCTTCCTGCCATCCAGAGGCCCTGCTGGGTATCCACTAAACCTGCTGAAAACATCACCTGTGAAACATTGGGGCAGGGCCTCCCTGGTGGCGCAAGGGGTTAAGTCTCAGCATTATGAAGCTACTGGCAGCCACTGCAGCACAGTTCGATCCCCGGGAGCTACACACATGGCGCAGCAGACCTCTCTTGTCTCGCCCGCTGCTCCCCTCAGCAGTGTATTTCAGTCAGTCTGCCTGCTCTGTTCCCCACTCTGTCTCTGGTGAATCCTCTAACCACCACCACCCCTCCCACACACACACCTGTGGCCTACACTCCAGTTCTTGGATGCATAAATAAAATAAATCTTTAAAAAAACAAAACAAAACAATGGGACAAGGAATTGAGGAGGAGGAGGCAGTGAAAGACTCTAAAGAGTGCTCTAACAGTGCTAAGAGCAATGACCAAAGTGGGGAACAGGTCACTGTAGTGGGTTCTCACCCCCACACACAATTGCAAGACCAATTGTATGGGTAGGGGATGGGTAGTAGCAAATGATTACAGCAGGCCAGGCCTCCCCACCTGGAGTGTGTTGAGCCAGAAAGAGGATAGTGACATGCTCTGTTGGGGTGTCTTAATAACACGCTTGCCAAAACCAGGGTTATCCTTTTCCCTGGTAACTGTGAGTCACACAAGTGCCCATGTGCCCCCCTTCTGCTGTTACCAGGCAGGGTGAGGGGTAACCCTGGGACCTCCAAACCCTGCCTGATTTAAATGGGTTCTGCCACCCACCACATCAAGACAAAACGTACTCTAGTTCATAAGACCTTTAATGGAAAAGAACTTTAACATAGTTAGTGGGTGATTAAGAGAAGGAAAAAAAAGATAAAATAGTTTCCACAGGAAACACCCAAAGTCTCCCGTCCCCTCGTGGGTAAATGCCTAGCCAAACAGGGTTGGTCCAAAGCAGGGTTACTGAGGCCCCAAAGCTTGTTACAAATCTAAGGCACCTCCTGGTGGGGACCCATAGGAAAGGGGCAGAAGGGAGAGAGGGAAAGAGCAAAATCAAAATCAAGATAAAGCTGCCATTGCAAGCGCAGCTTCTGCTCCTTGTGCCTCCTCCACGTCTCCTTCTTGATCCCCTTCCTACCTCTTTCCTCCTCCCAGTCTCCTCTCCAGCTTCTCCTCCTCCCTGCTGAGCTCCAACCTTCCTCGGGTGGGGCAGGGAACTGGAACCTCCTCTTTCCCTGGGGGCCCCCCTTTTACACTGCCCCACCCTCCACCCTGCCCTAGTCCAGTCTGCCCAGTTCCTCTGGCAGATGTCTTCTGACTTTCCTCCTCTGGCTCTTGCTCTGTCCTGCTGGCAGGGTGTCCAGTAATTCCCTCTCCCCACTATGGTTTGGGAATTCTCCAGTTCCTGCCTCCCTGGCCTGCAGCCTGCTACAGGGTGAGCCCTTCAGCAGCTGCAGCATGAGAGGGACCAGAGGCTCTTCAGTTCAGGGGTCCTGAGCTCCTGGGATGGGGGCAGACACTGAATTATCAGCGAACCCAACTGGTGGGTATTGTGGCTTGATTATGAAGAAATGGAACACAGCTTCATGAGGTACGCGGGTGGTCTGATGAGCGTAGAGTACTGACAGAATAACTAGTCTCAGCAGTGAGCTGTTGAGGGCAGGAATGGTTGAGTGGAGACGCAGAAATCCTCACAGCCAGCGTGGAACCTGGCACTCAGCAGTGCACAATAAATGTTGAATGAATAAATCAAGCTTCAGGTCCATAAAGGAATGTACGGACATGTACATAGACCAGAGATAAAGACGAGAGATCAGAGTTGACTTCCTACCAGAGGGAAATTATCTTTATCTTTAATTTTTTAAAAAATTTATTTTATTTATTTATGCATACAAGAGCTGGGGTGTAGGCCAGAGGTTAGAGGATTCACCAGAGGCAGAGTGGGGAACAGAACAGGCGGATCTACTGAAATACACTGCTGAGGGGAGCAGCAGGTAAGGTAGGAAAGGTCTGCTTCACCATGTGTGTCACCTTCCTGGCCAAGGATCGAACTCGTGCTGCAGTGGCTGCGGATAGCTTCATAGTGCTGAGACTTAACCCAGCCTCTTGCACCACTAGGGAGGCCCAGAGGGAAATTATTTTTATTTATTTATTTATTTTTTTGTGGGACCCTCACTGGTGGCCGGGGATTGACTGGCGCTGCAGAGGCGGCGGGCAGCCTCGCAACCCAGCGCTCAAGCACTGTGCCACCAGGGGAGGCCCGGGAAATTATTTTAGAAACTGAGGAGCAGAGAGGAGTGGGGGGCAGGGGGCTCTAGCACAGAGCTCCACTGTAATACTGTGTGGCCTCAGGCAAATTATTTAAAGTTTCTGCACCTCAGATCATCACCTCCAAAATGGAGCCACACAGTTGCCTACTAGATGAGGCCTAGGGGAACTCAGTGAGTCTTACTGTCTTTGTGGGGCCTGTCCCTCGGTAAAGGGTGGATAGCAAAGCCATCTGACACTGCATCTTTACATTCCTCGGGCTCCTCAATCTGGATGATCAGACATCAGAGGATAAGGCCTGAATATTAAATATCAATCAAGGAAAGCCAGACAGAGTAGGAAAAACAAATATGAAATTAATAATAATTATCCTCATAATCATTATTACTAACATCTACTGAATACTTACTATGTTCCAGATGTTTTAATCACTTTGCATATATTAAGTCACTTAATCTTTGCTGCTCTAGTTCACAGGGAGGAGACAGAGACATAGTCTTCTTACTTTATTACAAAAATCAAATTTTTAGAAAAAGAAGTCATGATTATCCCTCCTACCCTTTTTACAGAATAACATTTTCATTTTCCTAAATTATTTTCTAGTCCTTGTTCATGGTGAACTTGGTTTTTTTTTAATATTTATTTTATTTATGCATACAAGAACTGGGGTGGGGCCTCCCTGGTCGTGCAGGCGGTTGAGCGCAGTGCTGTGAAGCTGTGTGCAGCCTCTGCAGTGCCGGTTCGATCCCTGCCGGCCGGTGAGAATCCCACATGGTGCGGCAGACCTCTCCTGTCTCGCCCACTGCTCCCCTCAGCAGTGTACTTCGTCTGTCTGCCTGTTTTGTTCCCTGCTCTGTCTCTGGTGAATCCTCTCACCCTCCCGCACATCTGGCCTCTACCCTGGTTCTTGTATAAATAAATAAATCTTTAAAAAAAAAAAAAAGAACTGGGGTGTAGGCCAGAGGTGCTGGGGAGGGGGGGTGAGAGGATTCACCAGAGACAGAGTGGGGAACAGAACAGGCAGACTGACTGAAACACACTGCTGAGGGGAGTAGCAGGGATGACAGGAGAGAGGTCTGCTTCACCATGTGGGTTGCTCCCTGGCCGGCCAGGGATCAAACTTGTGCTGCAGAGGCTGCGGATTGCTTCATAGTGCAGTGCTTAATCCCTTGTGCCACTAGGGAGGCCCTGAACTTGTTTTTTAAACTAACTTTATTTTTCCCATATAAATGATGCTTGCTCATAAAAAAAAAAAAAAGCTGCAAGCAATTGAAGAGCATCGATAAAAAAGCAAAACAAAGAGCTAATATTTAAGGACAGGATGCTGCCCTCTTTTGGTGTGGCCCTCAGCAAGGCCATGTCTCTCGTTCATGTGTGAGTCACTGACATGAAATGTCTCCCCATGGGACTTGGATGCTTTTGCTAATTAATGAATAAAGGCAAAGGATGTGTGTTCTGAAGTATTAAGCTACCGCATGTACCAAAACATTTTATTGGTTCTCAGAGAATATGACTTTTTTATTTTTTTAAAAGATTTATTTATTTATGCATACAAGAGCTGAGGTACAGGCCAGAGATGTGGGGGGTGAGAGGACCCACCAGAGACAGAGTGGGGAACAGAACAGGCAGACTCTCTGAAATACACTGCTGAGGGGAGCAGCGGGCGAGACAGGAGAGGTCTGCCTCGCCATGTGGGTTGTTCCCTGGCCAGCCAGGGATCAAACTCGTGTTGCAGAGGCTGCGGATTGCTTCACAGTGTGGTGCTTAACCCCTTGCGCCACCAGGGAGGCCTCAAATAAGTCCATTTTTAGAATAAAAAATAGGCCTTACGTACAAGACATTGGTGACAATTAATTCCTCTTGATGTTTCCTTTCTGTTCATCAGACCCTCCAGGCTTCCACCACTAAACCAAACTCTCTGGATATCTCCTGCCTGGTTCAGAAGCATTCTTGGGGAGTAAGGTAATGCTCTTCCTAGCATATGAGGCAATAGTATTTTCCGTAACTCCTGGGAAAATTTGTCATTCAGATTCCTGTGAAGGGTTTTGTGTCTGCAAAGAATCTGTTAAGAAGAAGAAAAATGTATAGTATCCTGTCATTTCAAAGCTGAGGGGCCTCACATAAGCTCCTGTTCACCGCTTTTGTTTAGAGATAAGGGAAGAGGCCAGAGAGCTTGAGAGGGATCCCAACTCACCATGAACTGAGCGCAGAGCCCATGTTTCTTCATCCCCTGTCATGTGACATGTGTTTTCCTATTTGTGTGTTGAAAAACAGGGAAAGATAGTGAGGAAAGTAGGTAGGTAGGTAGGTGAAATAAAAGTTCCATGGGCCATTGTATTGGGCAGAAAGTAACAGCTTCTGGAAAGCTTTTTATCATCTCTGAAGAAACTTTGGCATATTTTGCAAGAGACTGGTAAGAACATGAGGCTCTCACTATAAGATTTCAGAAAGTACCCTCTCACCCTTTTAAGCAAAAAATAAGCAGATTTCAAAAGCTCTTCCCACCTCCCCCTGAAAGGCAATGATTATTCCTTTGGAGGGGTGAGAGAGAGGGGTCGAGTACTGATGCCTCCCCTTCCTGAATCAGTCTCCTGCCATCACTGAAAGCTACTGCACTAGCGGGGTCTTAGAGACCTCCAGACCTCCTGACATCTGTTACTGTCCCCTGATGACACTACATAGGTTGCAGCTGATACAGAGCCGGGCACTAGAGCCGGGCCATGGCGCCCCTCCCGCCACAAGGCCCACCCACTTTCAGCGGGTGGTCGGATAGTACCTGGACAGATCCCTAAGCGCTGCTGACGTCTTCTCAGGTGTGCTGCAAGGTCGTCACTCCCCGGAAGCAGAGGAAGAAGCATAACCCCAGACGAGGACTACTGCGCACCAACCAGGAGTGTCGACAGCACGAAGCTCGAGCTGTTTCCAGTGGGCTTCAGACTCGCTGTGTTCGGGATCTTCATCATTGTGATATTTGTCTACATAACTGTGGAAAGGAAGCCACTCTTCGGTTGGGTGCTTTAGGAACAGAGCGATGTGTGTACCTCAGGATTGCTCCAAGCGCCGGCTCAGGGCCCGGCTGCTCCGCAGGGGAGTCCCTGTCGTCGCCAGCTGGCCCCCGGGCTGTACTGTTGTCATGCTCCAGCTCAGGCAGAGGGACAGGCGCCGTGGCCACACGCTTGATGGGAGGGGACACCCCGAGTCGTGTCAATAATCATTAAAGGTGCTTTCACATCTAAGCGGGCTTCTAAAGTGGAAGCTGTCTTTTCATTAACTATGGTGATACACCATAGATCACATTTTATTTTTGAATATGACATTTTGTATTCGTAAACATATTTTACATTTTTAAATTTTATTTATCGTATCAATCATGGGAAAGACCATAATAGATAATTCACAAAAGAAAGAAAAAATCTGTCTGGGGCCTCCCTGGTGGCCTTGTTAAGTCTCAGCTCTCCAACTGCAAAATCCACTGGCATGGCTGAGTTCAATCCCCGGCCAGGGAGCTGACCCACATGGTGCAGCAGACCCCTCCTGTCTTACCTGCTGCTCCCCTCAGCAGTGGATTTCAGTAGATCTGCCTGCTCTGCTCCCCACTCTGTCTCTGGTGAATCCTCTCACCCCCTGCACACCAGTTTACACAAAAATAATTTTTTTTTTAAGTATCAAAAAAAAGGACTGGTTTAGTAAACACAGAAGATGTTCCAACATCACCAGTAATGAACAATTTAGCATTTTCACCTTTGATATTTAGCAAGTTAAAAAAAAATGAAGGCCTGTTGAGGGAATGTAGTTACCATTGCCTCTGGGACCAGGTAAGCAGGTGGGCCCCTGGCTCCTGTTTTGTTTTGGCTCAGAGAACTAGGGTACAGGCCATAGGTGCAGGGGGTGAGAGGATTCACCAGAGACAGGGCAGGGAACAGAACGGGCAGAATGACCGAAATACACTGCTGAGGGGAGCAGCGGGTAAGACAGGAGAGGTCTGCCACACCATGTGGGTTGCTCCATGGCTGGTGGAGATCGAACAGGCACTGCAGAGGCTGTGGACAGCTTTACAGCACTGCGCTCAACCTCCTGCGCCACCCGGGAGGCCCCTGCTTATGATTTCTTGTATTTTTGTGCTATCTGTAGTGATTTCTCCTCTTTCATGTGTCATTCTGTTTATTAATGTTTTTTTTCTCTCTTTCTTAATTTGCCTACCTAGAGGTTTATTTGTTTTATCTTCTAGAATAACCAGCTCTTAGTATCATTGATTTTTTTGTATAGTATTTTTCGTCTCTACTTCATTTATTTCTACTCTTATTTCCTTCTACTAATTTGGGACCTTATTTGTTCCTCTTTTTCAACTCGATTTAGTTGTGATGTTAGCTTGTAAAAAAATTTGAGATTTTTTCTGCTTCTTAAAATGGTCTGGGATGCACTTTTTCTGCATCCCATAGATTCTGGTAATTTGTATCATCATTTTCATTCATTTCAAAGTACTTTTTAACTTTCTCCTTTAATTTCTTCTTTTATCCAATTGCTATTAAATATCATGTTGTTTAATCTCCATGTGTTCATATTTTTCCATGTGTTTTTTTGTCTTTTATTTAATATCTAGTTTTATGGAATTGTGGTTAGAAAAGGTGCCAGGTATAATTTCAATCTTTGTGGTTTTATTGTCAATTGACTTGTGTCTCAAGTCATTGTCTATTCTTGAAAATGTTCAGAGTGCACTTGAAAAAAGTGTGTATGCAGCAGTTTTTGGGTGAAGTGTCCTGAAGATGTCAGTTACAACTATTTGGTCTAGCTTTGCTTTTAAAGCTGTTGCTTCCTTATTTATCCTTTGTCTTGTTGATCCATTATTGTAAAGTGGGGTTTTAAGGTTCCTATTGTTATCAATATCTCTCTAGTTCTATTATTGTCTTATATATCTTGGTGCCCCATCATTCAGTGTATAGATACATATTTTTGAGTGTTATTTATTCTTGTATTAGATCCTTAGTCATAGTGTCCTTCTTTATTTCTTGTTATTGTTCTAATGGAAAGTCTATTTTATCAGGTATAAGTATAGTTGTTCCTGTTTTTTTTTTTTTTGTTTTTTTTTTTTTTTGGTTAGCATTTGCTTGTGTAACTGTCTTCCAACCTTTAACTCTATCTTTGCCTTGCTGTTTAAGTGAGTTTCCAGTTGTTTGCCAGCATGCACAGAGCAGGTTCACTATCAATTCAGGCAGAGAAATAAAGAGAGTCTCAGAGCCCTCCATGGATTTTTCAGGCTTTAATGCTCTCAGGGAACCAGGTGTAGAGGCACACCAGGCAGGGAGGCTGGCATGCAAGGAGGCAGGCACTGGCCAGGCAGGGGAGCTGGGAGGCAGGCTGGCAATGGAGCCTCCTAGCCCTGGGAGCATCTTCACACTCTTTCTGTGGGCTCTCTCTTTCACACATCTGTGGTCTCACCTCTTCTGTAGTCACACCGCCAGTCCTTCTCTCACTACTGCCACTGCTGCCACCTTTAGCCTGCCTCTAGGCTCAGGTGTGCACACTCACACATGCAAGCACACCTATACTCCAGGTGTTCCATGCCCATGCTCCCAAGTGCCTTCTGCATTAAACATGATCAAGGCCACAGGTAACAGCCACAGAGGCTAGCGGTGTAAAAGCCAGATTAATTCATTTACCCTACACTTGTAAACAGCAGAAGGTTGGGCTTTCTTTTGAAATTCATTCAGCCACTCTGTAACTTTTGACTGGGAGTTTAGGCCAGTTATGTTTAAAGTGATTATTTGAGGGATACATGCTTGTGGCCATTTTATTATGTTTTTAGTTGTGTTGTCTTTAAAAATATATATATATTTTTTGCTTTAGGTTCAATTTCCATTTCCATTGTTTATTAGTTTTTGTTTGAGGGTTCTACTGAGATTAGTATATAATGGACATGTTGGTTGGTCTGGTCTGTTTCTAATTGGCTATACTGTTACTTTCCTCCTCCTCCATGTTAAGTAGTTTAGGTGTTCTGTTGCTTTATAATAACCCCTTTAGGATTTCTTTAATGCTCAGCTTGCTGTTGATAAATTCCATTTTTGCTTTTCAGAGATGCTTCTTACTCAGCCTTCTATCTGGATTGTTAACCTTGTTGGGTCAAGGATTCTCAGCTGGAGTCTTTTCTCTTAAGTATTTTAAGGAAATGTCTGTCCAGTCCCCTTGTACTTATGATGTTTCTGCTGAAAGTCTGCTGACAGTCTGATTGGTGTTCCCTTTTATGTTACCCTTTTTTTCTTCTAGTTTTAATATTCTGTCCTTGTCTTGGTTTTTGACAGCTTTATTATTATTATTTTTTAAAGATTTATTTATTTATTTATACAAGCACTGGGTACAGTTAGAACTGCGGGAGGGTGAGAGGATTCACCAGAGTCAGAGTGGGGAACAGAACAGGCAGACTGACGAACTACACTGTTGAGGGGAGCAGTGGGTGTGGCAGGAGAGGTCTGCCCGCCATGTGGGACCCTCGCCAGTGGCAGGGATTGAACCCGCATTGCAGAGGCTGCGGGCAGCTTCGCAGCACAGCGCTGTGCTGCCAGGGGAGGCCCTGACAACTTTATTATTATGTGTTGTTTTAAGTCTGTTTGGCATTATTTTGTTTCGAACTTTCTGGTTTTATTAGATCAAAGCTTCTGATTCATTTGCAAGACTGAGTGGTTTTCAGGGGTTATTTCTTAAAATATGTTTTCTATGACTTTCTTTTTTTTCTACTTTTGGGGTCCCCATGATATACAGATATTACTTTATTTCAAGCAATCCCAGCAAACTCTTATACTTTTTAAAATTCTTTTTTGTCTATCCTGTTCTATTCTTGTGTTCTCCAACATTTTATTTTCAAGCTCACCAATTCTCTCCAATGTTTCTGCTTGCCTGGTCCTCAATTGTATTTTAAAAATAATCTCAAATTAAAATAGCATTTCTTAACTCTATTGTTTCTGAATGTACATGCCTTGTATTTTCTTTATCTTTGTTCTGTTCTTTTATATCCTCCTTTAAAAAAAAATTTCACCAGCTTTGCCAGCACCATTGTCCTGAATTCCCCTTCTATCTTGCTCTGTGAGCCTACTGAATTGGGGCTCCTTACAGGGTTTTTTGTTCTGGTATTTTACACCGTGTTCGTCTTTCTCTTCATTTTTGATATTGTATGCATTTTAGTAGAGATAGATTTTCAACTGTTTTTGCACCTGTTGGAGTGAGTAGTCCTGACTACTGGTACTGGTGAGGTGCAGCGGGTATAAAAGAGGACTGGAACAATAGGCATCAAAGGGTCACCTCTAGTAGACTCAGGAATTTTAACTTCCTGCTGTAAAGCATTTCTTTGTGGGGGTGGCAGGTCTTTCAAATATCTCAACCTGGGCTTCAGTAGTAGCCTCTTCTATAGGGAAGTTCAGGTGCTCTGATCCAATTCAGGTTACCACGGCTCTGCGCTATGAGCCTCAGATCGAAGCCAGTAACCCTCTCGCCCCACCTCTGCAGTTCTCCGCAATGCACCCGCCACCCTGGGTACCTGCTATGTACCCCTTATCCAATGCAGGGCTGGGTTTTAGGAGCCCTGATGTTGGCATGTGCCTAAGAGTCAATAACTGTACAGGGCTCTGCACAGCAGCCACTTCTCCCTCTTGTGGGTTATACTGCCCTGTTGGTCACTTAGACTCTCCCCTACTGCTTTCCATCAGGCCAGTGTTCCTGTTGTGTATGGTGGGAGTCAGTTTTTCCCTTGTTTTTTTTTTTTTTTAAGATTTATTTATTTATGCATACAAGAACTGGGGTACTGCTCAGATGTGTGGGGAGTGAGAGGATTCACCAGAGACAGAGTGGAGAACAGAACAGGCAGACTGACAAATACACTGCTGAGGAGTGGGCGACACAGGAGCAGTGGCACGGGAGCAGTGGGCGACACAGGAGAGGTCTGCTGCGCCACGTGGGTCAGCTCCCACCGGGGATTGAACTCATGCTGTAGAAGCTGCGGACAGCTTCACAGTGCTGTGCTTAGCCCCTTGCACCACCAGGAAGGCTGGAAGAGAGAGCGTTTGAGCCTAAGCCTTGTCTGTACTAGGCAGACGAAGGAAGGAAAGACTGAGTATAGTAACAGGAAGAAACAATCTACTGTGGTGGTCACATGCTCTTTAAAAAGGACATTTGTGTTCTTAATAAGATCAAGCATTATTTTAAAAAATTATAAATTTCAGTACTTTAAGTATTTGCCAATTAGCTCTG